AGAGTGTGGAGATGGAATGAGATTGAGGAGGGGGACATGGGTATGCAATTTCCACCAGAAATGAGACAAGGATGAGGATAAAAGTGCAGAACATGGTTTGTAATTAGCAGAACGTGGCTTCTATGCAGGTATCTTACATGCTGCGGTGTGGCGAGCATGGCCTCTTACACTGGAGCCATTTCTACACATGGAGTCATGTTGGTGGATGTTTCAAAACTCTGCATTTGTTCCATCCCTTCTATCTGTCCACCTCATTCATTTCTCCATCAAGCATCTCCACACCTACTTATAATCCCTCCTTCCTAATGAGACATCTTAAAAAAAAACACCCCATCACAAAAGGGCTTGGCGTTGCAATTACATCCCCTCTGTGCCTTCCTCCTCTCTCCCCCATTTCTGCTCGCTGATCCACCCCCCCCAAAAAGAGCTAAGGATGTCGAAAGATGGATAATTTCCCCTAGGTACAATTTAACTGTCACTTTGCATTGCCATTTACTGCAGCGCACAGCCCTGTTAATGTCCCCAACTTTGCATGTCAGCCACTTTCCAGCCAATTAAGCCCTGAAAAAAAAAAATAACGAGCGCTTTGCTCGGTGGAAACCTGAAGGAGCTCATTTTGCTTCATCTCACTCCCCCTTATTTCCTCCCTCTACGTCCCCTTCTTTTGTTCGGAGAAGATCGGCGGGCCTGTTATCAAGTCACTGTCCTCGCGTGAGAGAGGACGAAGTGTCTATGTCTCGAAACGCAAATGAGACCGTGATCATGACACCATGAGCCCGATGTTAGATGTACAAGAATGGCACTTGCTAATCTGTGCACCAATACCCACACAGACGAATGCTCACATAATGTAGGCACCTAAAACTACACATCCAGCAGACACACAGCAACATTAGCATTCATTTAGAGAGGGGTTCGTTGGTCACCTGACAAATGTTCCTTTCTTTTCCAAGTCTACATTTTTTTCCACCATTTTATTCAATAGCTTGTGGTGCTCCTGCAGTATGAAACTAGGCTGAAGAAAGTTTGCAGACCAGAACAATCAAAACAGTGAGCTATAGAAGCTAAAAACTGGGAGTACAGCTGAGGGGAACATAAGGAGCTGTGCTGAGGTCGAGATAACAATTCTGTCCTTCAATCTTTTCCTCGGACTGTTTTCATTTACTTCTATTTTGCACCTCTGGCTGCTTCTGTTTAAGATTTCCATTGTAGACATGATACAAGATGGCAGAAAAGAGTGGGAGTGAATGAGATTTCTCCTCTCAGCCACTCATCTCTTGTCAGCTTCCTATCCTCCTCCTCCTATTCTATTGCCACTGTTGCCGTCTTATCATACATATCCTGCCAGCACTTCATTTTGTTGGACTCATTACCATTTCCTGTTGCTAATCAATTCCATACAAATGTGGTAATCTGGGCTAGCATAGTAGCAGGTTAGCACACACAATGCTGAGCGGACAGGCGTGAAGGCTAACAGGGCGGTGCATATGATGGGCTGTCAAGGGCTAATCTGCTCGAGAAGTGTTCATTAAGTCATTAGCGCTGACGTAGCGATGAGACGAGAGCAGGCGGGAGTGATGCCTGCTTTGTCCTCTTTTATCACTTCCCTTCATCCCTCCTACTCCCCGAGTGCGTGTTTGTCCGCTGACTGACGGAATAAAGAGGTAGAAATGAACACATGATGATAAAAGATAAAAAGAGAAGAGAACAGGGAGATGAATTCAACTGAAGCACAAAAGTCAAGCGTTGTGGTGCTCAAACCTAAGCTGAGGCTTGGCTGAACCACTGCTGGAACAACACATTACAGCCTCACAAAAGTCAAATGTTTAAGCTACCAAAAAGCCTTTTAACATTAAGAGTTTCCTGATGAAACTAAGAGCACGGCCCCAAAGAAAACTGGAGCAAGTGAAAGAAAGGATCCACTAGTGTAACACCAACGACAGCTTAGTGTCACAGTGCTCTGTGAAGACAGTGCTGGACTTTCTGACACAAGGCAACACAACCTGTTGTTATTCATCTAACCACTTTCAAGGCTGTTCAGTGCCTGAATCTGATGTTTAAGAACAAACTGAGTCAGTATCTCGCTCCAGCAGTGAATGATCTGCAAAAATAAGTACGGCAAGTAAATAAACTCGTAAAGGGTGGGAAAATGCAGCTCTCTAATGTTTAAAGATTCTAAACACTTCAAAAAACAATCTACTGTGTGTTCAAACTTTATCTGCACACTTTTGTTCACAACTAGCCAACTAGAAACAAATATACCAAAAACCCAAGATTGATGGTAGAATACAAGCTGATACGTAGCGTGTTCACTCCTGTTCATTGGTGTGTTTACTGCAGTATCCTATGGGGGAAGCACTGGCACTTGAGTTGTGAACAGGGCTGCGGCAAGCTGGTGTGTGTGTGTTTGTGTTTTGGCTGCCATTGATGACCCAGGAGTAAATTAGCCTGCTAATCTCACCAAGGCAGTGATTAACGACTGAAGCTAGAAACTCCGTTTGTGCCAGAGACTTACAGCAAAACAAACAGCGGCAGGGGAGCATCGGTGTGCGAACGTCTGTACACGAGCTTCATTTGCAAAGGTCTACCTCTGCCGCAGCATGTACACTAGAGGTAAACTGTGTGTATGAAAGCATGGGCAGGGTGTGTGTGTGTGTGTGTGTGTGTGTGTGTGTGTGATGGCAGGCCCCTAACAGCGCACTGCGTGGCTGTGGTAAATCCAGCAATTAGTGCTCTGTACATAATTAACATGCTAATGAGTTGATCTAAGCCAGTTTTTGGTAACATTCATTTACACATTTGCATTGTGGGAAGAGGCACTGATGGCCATCTCACCACCTACACACTCACTGACACCTTGGCGTATAGCAGTGGGCGTTTCAGGAGATGAGGGGTGGGGGCTCATGGGAGAGGTTGCAGCTGGTGAATCCTCAAACAAACAAAACCTGGCTCTAAACAGCACACACACACATAAATGAGCAATTTCCACATCCTCTCTCTGTCTGATTCACTGACCCAGAACATAACCCCAGCTATGATCATAGGGAGAGATGAGTGACTCATTGAGACACACACATACATACACACACCTGGCAAGTGGATTTGGCAGATGAAGACATAAATCTGACAACAATAGTGAACTGGTAGTTGGTTAGTGGAAAGCTTCAGCAATAGAATTGAAAGAAAAAAAAACACAAATGAAAAATTCTAACATTAAATCCCTGTCTACAAGTTTTACCTTTCCAGGTGTACAGAAATCAGGGGTGAGCAGAGACTGGAGGAGGGTTTGGCCAGACCAAGGGTAAAGACGGTGTCCAGCAGCCGTTGGATGGTGGAAGTACTCCCTTTGACCACTAGAGCATTGAGTGCATAGAAGAGCAAGGAGTTGTGCATGTCATTTAACACTACCTCCTTCTCCTTCATTTCTTTCAGGATGTCCACTGCCTCTGTGATGGGGGAAAAGAGAAATAAAGCCTGAAATTGTTATCCAAAATAAATGCTCACATCAGCAGCTCTTGTTCCTGTACCTCATCACGTGTGACGCTCTGGGGAGGTCAAAGTGCAAGACCCTCAGTCAGAGCATGACGTGATGGTGAGAGCGATTTAGAGGTAAAGACAAATGAAATGAACAACATACAAGAAGAAAGAGAGATAATGCAGAGAGATGAGGAGAGAGAGAGAAACCGAGAGGTGGGCAGAGCTTGGCTGGGAGAAGACTAGGGTGTGTGAACATGATAAAAGGCCCCTTTAGCTAATTCCATGTGGGGAAAACAAACCCATATTAAAACAGCATTTTCACCCAGCAGGGATGCAAATCCAACCCCGTATAATGCCAACTCTGCACTAATTGCTACTTGCGGTTTTCTAAACGAGACTACAATTACCGGACCCCTACAATGGAGGACGGCTTTTTGCTGTGGCCATGTGGAAAGCACTTGGGGGGCTAAATTATAGGTATGTGGCAACAAGGGCCTGCTGTAGCCCCAGCGAGACCCCGGTAAGCAGGCTGAGGGGTGGATCAGTTTGGTCAAGTCCAGTCGGTAATGGAGGGCTTTTTACTGGGCCACACGCCCATCTGGCCAACACTAGGGGCTAAATGGTGGAAAAGGAGCGTCTATGTATGTGTGTATATGTGGAATATCAGGGTAAAGTAATTAAGATGTGTTTACTGCCTATTTAGACAGCTGCTAATGGGCTGACAGCGATACAGCCGCTCTCAACCACAGATACTAATCTATACAGCATGACCAAGAGGAAGGGAGGAGATGGAGAGAAGCAGAGACACAGAATATATTTGTATAATGTGAATGAAGCCAATACAGACACCTTCCTCAAAATTTACAACACAAATCCTTGCTTCCTACCTTTGTGAAAACTTAAGCAAACAGACACAAATACAAAAAAGCAAATAAAGTTAAGGTGAACAAATGTGGGTCCAATGATGATAACAACCATGTAGCTGGTAATATAACAAACCCCTCAAATAGGAGTGTCACTCTCTACTGGAAACGCACATTCAGACACAGATGCATACTTGTGGGCTGAGGGACAGGGCTACTGGTAAGTGCTTTGGCATCCTAATTTCAGTCTGTCTCTCCATCTCTCCACCTCTTTGTGCCAGTTGTTATGGCGATGGGAACCAAAGGCTGTCACAGATTTAATGGGACAAGGGAAAATAGAGGGAGGACGGGTGGAGTAGGGGTGACTGGCAATGGAGGAGACACCACTAAACAGGAGGGGGAGTTAAAGGGAGGACAATGAGAAGGGGAGGAAGCCTGCCAGAGGGAGAACTTTAGTGAGCTGGATGAGGACTTGACAAGAGCAACAAAGAATGGAAAAGGGCAAACCTTGAAGTAACTGGGCTCTGTCACCTGTGTGACAACGTAGTGCACTTTTATCACAATGACAATATACATTTCTCCATCTTAAAGGACTGCAAGACTTCAGCAGTGCACATTAGCTCCTGCTTACCTTTTTTTCCTCTGCTAATAGTTTTCTTGATTGTTTAACAGAAACAGAATAAAGATGACAAAATTAAGATCAAGAACGACTTTAACTGAGCACTGTACTGGCATTCAAGGATAAATAAAAACATCGGCAGCCACTTCACAGCAGGCATGAAGCACAGAAGCATTCCTAGAGATATTAATGCCAAGGCCTAGAGCGTGTTTGCTGTAGTTAAACCCTAAGATGCAGAGTAAAGCTCAGTTTGATCTACAGGAATGGACGGCTAGCTCATGTTGCACGTTTTGCCACCACAAAGAAGATAAATTCCTAAGGTTTGGAAATCTCACAACTTCTATATGGTCAGGACAGAGACCGGTACATTACAAGATGGCGAGCCTGCTAAAATCAGAGATCTCTTTGTGGTTCCAAAACCAACATCCATGTGGACATTATCAAAATCAATACTAAAAAAGCCTGCTAAAACCAACATCCACGTGGACATTATCAAAATCAATACTAAAACAATGACTGCAGGAAAAATGATTTGATCGCAGATGGTGATATCACATTTAAACAATTGCCCTAAAATGGCCTGATCTGTTGTCAAGTCTGTGTCGTTCTTCAGGTGAGAGGCAACTTATTCTGGCTCCCCGACTGTGTCTCCCCCTCCCTCCATCTGCACCTCTCTCTGTCACTATATGACAGACCTGCTAATCACTGAGACCAGTGGCTTGGAGTTGATCTGCCCAAATGGAGCTACACTAGCTAACATCTCTCCATCCACCATCCAAACCTCCTCTCCTCACTCCCCCCTCCATGTCTCCCTGTCTTCCGTTTAGCCAGTATGCATATCTATCAGCTCAGCGAGGCATCGTGGCCAGCAAAGCGAGCCAGAACACACACACATATTAAGAGATGGGGAGGCAGACAGGCCAGGTAAACAAACATCATACAGTCCAGTGGTTCATCTAATGCTCCATGACTTGACTGCTGGTGATGTCTTTTTCCCAGAACACACCCATGCAGCACCAAAGACAAGTTCAGCACCGCCTAAAGTCAGAGCAAGTTGTGTTTACCGGAGTGGGAGGATAGACAGAGGAGCAAGGGCAGGTCAAAGAGACACCTAGTGATAGAGGAGAGGTGTATTTAATAAAACAGAGGGAGAGAAGTGATGGTAGAAGTTAAAGGGGGTGTTCAGCCTCTTGAAGCACACGGTGATATGTATGGCAAGTTCACTGCGTCACAGGATCAACGAATTAAAGGATGCACTCATTCTGCTATGACATATAACAACAAGCTTTCTTAACTTGGAAAAGATCTAAAGCCAAGGCAAGGTCAAAAAAGTATTTTCTACTTTTTTTTTTTTTTTAGGAGCAGCTTTTATTTTGTATGTTTATTTTTATATTGTACATTTTTCTTAGAACACTGAATTTAGATAAGAAAAACACTATATTTCACATGGCTTGATGAAAACCTAGGACAAATGAAAAACCTGGGACACCTGATCTATTATGTGCCATTTCTGCTCTTATTGGATAATAAAGGTGTATGTTATACAAATGTCAATACTTCCATGCTTGTACATCACCTATGTGTGTGTAAATGGGTTTACTATTTAATAGATACTGTATGTGTATAGATTGAGACATTTGTTTTAAATTGATGGCTAAGATGGAAGATATCAGTTCAATATATTGAGTCAGAATTACTTGATGACAGTACTGCCATTTTATCTGCACATAAATCTTACAGAAAAATGTAGTGCACAAATATGGGGATGGAGGGTTAGACCAGTGGATGTATGAACAGATGTGAACGTTAAAAGACCATGATGAGGAGCAGTGAAGAGTGGAATAACTTTAATTGATTCGAACTAAAGCCCTTTATGAATAGATTAAAATCAAGGACTGTGACGTCACCCGGGATGGCGCAGCAGGGGGCCCCACCCTGGAGCCAGGCCCATGGTTGGGGATCAAATGCGAGCGCCTGGTGGCCGGGCCTCCACTCACGGGGCCCGGCCGGGCTTAGCCCGAACAAGCACCGTGGGGACGTCCTCTCGTGGGCCCACCATGTGCGGGAGGATCAGTAAGGGGACAGTGCACAGTGGACTGGGCAGCAGTCGAAGGCAGGGGCCCCGCCGACCCGATCTCTGGACACGGAGACTAGCCCTGGGGACATGGAATGTCACCTCGCTGGTGGGGAAGGAGCCCGAGCTTGTGCAGGAGGTTGAGAGGTACCGGCTAGATATAGTCGGTCCCACCTCCACGCACAGCTTGGGCTCTGGAACCTTACTCCTCGAGAGAGGCTGGACTCTCTACTACTCTGGAGTTGCCCGCGGTGAGAGGCGGCGGGCTGGTGTGGGCTTGCTCATAGCTCCCCAGCTTAGCCGCCATATGGTGGAGTTTACCCCGGTGAACGAGAGGGTCGCTTCCCAGCGCCTTCGGGTCGCGGTTAGGTCTCTCACTGCCGTTTGTGCCTACGGGCCGAATGGCAGTGTGGAGTACCCGGCCTTCTTGGAGTCCCTGGGAGGGGT